GGTCAGTCCTGGGCTTCTAACTTTTTCCTTCATGCCTTCTCTTAGGAATCAGAAACTCCCAAGTTGACATCCTAACTCTGGAGGTGCTAAGTTCCTGGCCTCTGTTCTCTTGTTTATAACATGGCAGGGCTGCTTTCTGTTTCCCTGGAGATGTTGGAAGGCGTCAACTACACCAGTAAGAAGCTTCTAGAAGGGTGTGGAGAGATGAGTCGGAGGTTAAGAACACTTTTTGCCTTTGCAGAGCGTCTGAGTTCAATTTCCAGCCCCATTAGGTGGCTTACATCCTCCTATAACTCCGGCTCCAGGAGATATGACGCCCTCTTCTGGCCGCCTCAGTCACCTGCATGCATGGTGCTCAGACAGACAAGTAAACACACCTGTTTACACATAATTTTTTTTTAATTGTAAGGAAGCTTCTAGAAGAATGGCTGGAATACAGGAACTTCTCAGTGCCCTGTCCCTTCCCACTGCTCCCAGCACTGATTCAACCAAAGAAGCAAACCAGAGAATCTCAGCCAAAGGGACCATCCACTGACACAACACAAACAGTTTGTTCCAGAGGATACGGCTTGCCAGTCCTTGGCTGTATTGCTATTCATTCAGTCGCAGCTTCGCTATCACAAATCAGTGGTAGACGATTATAGTTAGAAATACCCTCTGTATCGAAAGCTTTTCCACATTAACCCTCAAGTTATGTTGTAATGTATGGTGTCATCACCACCCCTCCCGTACCATCAGATGGCCCGTGGTTCTTCCTCTTTGTCCACCACCAAAGAGGAGAATCAAGCTCTGCCCATCAGAAACTGAAAAAAAACTCCAAGTGCAGTTTTCCAGACACACAAGCTATATTTCTCAACAGTTCCATCTAGTCCCTTGGCGAATACATCTGAAGGCTTACTAAGGGCCAGGTGCTGTGGTAGGCACTGGAGATAGAATGAGGGAGGAGGTGGGCGTAGCCATACCATCCACCCTAGAGCCGACCACTGGACAGTAAGGATGTCAGCCAACAAAGAAACTAATGGGGGTGTTGTTTCTAGTTGAGCCATCTTCAACAGACTCATTTTCAGATTGGGGGTTGAGGCCTGGAAGCTGGAGAGGAATGAGCTTGCCAGGCATGAGGAAGTATCCTGGCTAACGAGGAGAGAGCCATGTGAAGACACATCTAAGCCAGCAAAGGCAGGAGACAAGATTGGGCCAAAGAGGCAGGAAGCCCCATCCGTACTCTGAATCAGTGGTTCCCTGTCTCCGTCATAATTATCAGCATCACCACGTTAAAGGACAGAAGCCACATCAGCATAAAAATGTGCTTTGGTTGAATCAGGAGCAGGATATCTGGGACTCCCCAGAATCTTTGGTCCCCAAGAGAACCCCACAGCCATGGAAGATAATATTTTAAATGAGCAAGATGTCCAAAGTACCACATTCTTTTCACTGACCACTAATTATATCCCTTAAGATTCCCAGAGCCCCATCTGAATACATACAGATGTACACGCATATGCACACACACGTATTATTGTAGATGAACTGGTCTTTCTAAACAGCCAGCAAGAATGGTCAGGGTGATACACAGCTGACCCTCTCATAGAAGCGACCCGTGCCTGTGGTGGCCTTGGGTGCACACCACATTCTGATTTAGTGGTCAGTTAGTGGTCAGAACTCTTCCCCTTGTGGCCTGGTCTCTACCCAGAGCCACAAATACGCAGTCAGGAGGAGAGTTAAGATAGAAGGTCGGAGCTCAGTGGTGCAGTCCTTACCTAGGACGTCCAGTACCCTCGGTTCAATACCCAGCCAGGGGTGGGGAGAGTCTTTACCCTCTGAGGGTCTCTGTGTAGTAACAGGCTCTTGTCCCTTAAAAACATCTTGTCCCTTCAGAGATATCTGGGAGGCTGCTCTGTAAGTTATGCATGATTATCAGTGAGGATGAAAGTAATTTCTATCTGACCAAAAATATAACCTCAAAGTACATCATCATCCTACGGAGTATTGGCCAGTTTTGAGTCTGATTTACTCAACAGATTTCCGCACACATACACACGTTAAGCCCACCTCCTGCTGATCCCATAAACGGTTGGTGTCTTTGACTTATACTCACTATATATTTGTTCGAGAGTCATGTTTTTAATTTGTTAAAATATTGTGCATCCAGGTAAAGGTGGCTCAGTGGTTAAGAGCACTGGCTTCTCTTTGAAGGGAAGTGGCTTTGATTCCCAGCAATCACATGGGAGCTCACAGCCACCTCAAATTCCAGCTCCAGGGGATCCAGTGCCTTCTCTGTTCTGCAGAGGCACTCGGAATATAATTGATATCAGATATACATGCAGGTAAAATGCCTATATGCTAAAACTAAACAAATAAAAATTTTATGCTGTGCACCAACCCAGATGTGGTAGTTTATACTTACAATCCCAGCATTTAGGAGACTGACACAGGTGGATTGCTGTGAAGTCAAGGCTACATACACTGAGCTATACAGTAAGTTCAGACCAGCCTTGGCTATGGAATAAGACCCTATCTCAAAAAGTAAATATATACCTGTATCCATACATATTCACATACTACACATAGAAACATAAATACACACACATGTAGACAGATATAATTTATAGAACAGTTTTTTTGTTGTTGCTGGGTGTTGTTTATTTATTTGTTTTTGTTTTGTCAAGACAGGGTTTCCCTATGTATCCCTGGCTATACTAGAACTTGCTCTGTAAACTAGGCTGGCCTTGATCTCAGAGATCCGCCTGCTTCTGCCTCCCTAGAGCTGGGATTAAAGGCATGGGAAACAGCTTCCAGCAAGTTTTTCACTTTTAGTAGCTTATGCTGCTCTTCTGTTTTGTGATTAACCGTTATGTAGTTAATGTTACGATCTGGATGCCATAAAGTCACAGCGTGCGATACTTCTCACATAGGAGGTTTACTGGAAAGGAAGGACAGCAGACTGTTAAGGCTCAGTGTCCTGAGTTTGATGTTCCCAGTTGACACAGTGAGATTACTGGTGTCCTGTCAGGACCTACGTTCTTGGAGAACAAAATGAATGGCTAAGGATACTGTGAGGAGCTGACCTAGTGCCACATTTATGAGAAGGCTGGGCCTGAACTGGGGCAGTGACATGTGTAGAAATAGGAGGGAGATGAAGATGCTTAGAGAGGCATGAAGGCTTGTCTGGGCCCCTGGTCCTGATGGTCAGTATGTCGCCACACTATGTGCTCCATGTGCTCCCAGTCAGTATGTATGTCACCACACTATGTGCTCAGTGTGCTCCCCTTCCTGTTTCCGTTCATGCATTTTTTTTAAATCATTTGCTTTTAATCTGTGCTGTGGCTTCCTCAGCATACTGCATGGCACTCAGATCACTCACAGATGAGTCTGTTGCAGTCAGGATGTAAAAGACAGATCTGCCAAGGCCTAAAGCTCACATCCAAAAGGTCCAAGGACATCGCTGTGAGAAAAACAAAGACACAAAGTAGCATTCCAGGGACATGACAGGGCATTCTTACGAAACTCGTCAGACTAAACTGTAGTGGCTACTCTCATCTCTGTATCCACGAAACCAGACCTCCAACGTGGCTTTGCCAAGAGGACTCAGTTCAGTGTCCTGGACCTTATAGCTAATCCCACACTGAGTTCACAGCTGCCTCAGGACTCTTGTCTGCCAGAAGTTTTGGCTGACTTTTGCCTGAACCTCTAGGGAGGGCTTGAAGTGCTCCTGATTCACAGGTTTGAAAAACCAAGCTCAGAAAAACCACCTGGCTGTGGACTACACCACCACATCCTCAACCTGGCTGCTGACTACACCACCCCATCCCCCAAGGTGCCTGCTGGATTTCGGAGGCTGTTTTCTCTAGCTACTCTCCATGTTGGAAGAGCTTTTTCTGCTCTACTGAATTTCCCTTAAGACAAGTTCTGGATTCGGTGTTCTGCATGTGAAACCATAGAGCCTGACTGTCTCATGGATAACTGTTTATCCCACCCCACCCCAGCACACATCACTCTGCTCTCCTTCCTCGCTGACCTAGGACAGCTCCATGACACCAATGGATGTCCTTCAAAGTTGAGGAGTATGCCTCTGGGGCTGGAGAGATGGCTCAAGTTAAGAGCACTTGCTGTTCTTAAAGAGAACCCAAGCACCCACATGAGGAGGCTCACGACCTTTTGTAACTCCAGCTCCAGGGAATCTGACATCCTCTGAGGGCACTTGCATTCATGTGACATACACACACACAGATACACACATACATATAAATAAAAACAAACAACTGTGCCTCAGTGGGATAAGACTTCTGTCTTAGTTATTCTGTGAAGTGACATCATGACCAAGGCAACTCTTAATAAGGAAAACATTTCATTGGGGATGGCTTACAGTTCAGAGTCTTAGTCCATTATCATCATGGTAGGAAACATGGTGGCCTACAGGCAAACACGGTGCTGGAGAAGGAGCTGAGAGTCCTGCATCTCGAGCCACAGGCAGCAGGAAGTGAACTGCCACACCGGGTATGGCTTGGGTATCTGAGAGGGCAAAGCCTGCCCCCAATGTTCACTTCCTCCCACGAGGCCACACCCACTCCCACAAGGCCACTCCCACTCCCACAAGGCCACTCCCACAAGGCCACACCTTCTGGCCATGCCACTCCCTATGGGCCTCTGGGAGCCATTTTCTTCCAAATCATCATAGCCTCCTTGCGTTTGGCTCAGGTTAGAAATGACAACACATCGTGAGTAAATTCTTTTTAACAGTTTTGGCACAGCTGTGAGATTTGAGACAGTGGCTTAATCCAAGTAATTCCACACTAAGTGACAGATCGGCACTGTCTGAGTGAGAAACCCGGCATTCTTCAGAGCCGAATGCGAGATAGAAGACTGTCATCTAATTCCTGACTTTCTCCACCATACTCTTGTTCAGTTTGTGATATTTGAAGTCAGGGCCATTATCAATACAGCCCTTTCCAGACATGAACCTCGGTTTCATGCTCTTACCTTTGTGCTATCTCCTAGGTGGTCTTCGAGGCCTTGCACAATCTGGAACCCCGTGGCTATGTTGTGGGGTGGATCATCGCCATCAGTTTGCTGGTGGGGATCCTCATTTTTCTGCTGCTGGCTGTGCTACTGTGGAAGGTAAGTCTGGAGAGCACAAGGGCCGGCTGATTTCCTACTCAGGACACCAGTTCTCAGGCCTCTTGAGGGCTGGGGAACCTTGGGAAATGTTTCCCTGCACAGTACAGGTATAGAGGAGGTCTAGCGGCCCCTTCAGGTGGAAGATGGAATCGTGCCTCCTCTTGGATCGCCTTAGAGAGAGAAGGGACTTAAGTGGCACTGCCACCATGGCTTTTCAGGAGGTCAGTCGGGTTCCGGTGAGATGATTGCTCCTGCAGGGGAAGCGATCTCATGATGGGTGGTACAGTGCTTTTCCGAGGTGACTACAGTTGAAGACAGTGTTATCTGTGATTTTGGCCTGGAGGGCAATGACAGCTTAGGTACTGTGGATTTTTATATGGGCATTCATTAAGAGACAAGTAGAGCCTGACCCATAGGTAAGGAGGCATACACAACCAGGCCGAGGCGGCTGGCTTTCACCCTGCTTTGAGTTATCTCATGGGCACAATGCAAATGCCTATTACAGGAAAAACCTCTGAGATTAATACAGGTGGGTGACTTAAATCCAAATACTTAGTTTCTTTGGGATTACAAAACAGTATGCATTGCTCAACTATGATAATGCTAAATAAAGTGTCACCCGGGGTTACATCTTGGAAAGGGCTGTGGTGAGCATGGGCTTGTCTCCAGCTTGGCCTGTTTCTCCGAAGATGTGAGGGAGGCTTTCTCATGGGTCAGCTTACTCATTGACAATTTGCTAGTTAAATTATCCACCCATATACCCAGTATATGTTCAGATGAGGTACTTCTAAAGTGAGAGTCGTGGGTTCAGTTCCTGTCTGTGCACATTCATATGCTCAGCACACGTGTGTGCCATAGCCTACATCAGAGGGACAATGTTCAGGAGCCTGTCCTCTCATACCATGTAGGCTACAGAATGCTGACTGTCAGGCTTGGTGGCAAGCGCCTTTACCTCTGAATCAACTCACCTGCCTCCCCCTTCTTGGTTTTGTTGCTGTTTTGCTTTTTAATTTGTTTTTATTTCATGTGCATTGGTGTTTTGCCATCATGTATATCTGTGTGAGGGTTTTGGATCTCCTGGAACTGGAGTTACAGACAGTTGTGAGCTGCCATGTCGGTGCTGGGAATTGAACTCAGGACCTCTGGAAGAGCAGACAGTGCTCTTAACCACTGAGCCATCTCCCCAGCCCTTCACCCTTGTTTTTGAAAGGTGGTTTCTCTTTAGCCTGGCGTGGACAGATGAGACTAAAATGGCTGGCCAGGGAATAGTAACAGCCTGCCTGTCTCTGCCTACCCAGTTATAAACCAGGACCAGCATGCTTGGCATCTTTTCACGTGGGTTCTGCAGATCAGAACTCAGTTCTTCATGCTTGCCCAGGACGTACTTTACCAACTGAGCCACCTCCTCTGCCCCTGTGGGTTCAACACTCAATCTGGAAAACTGTATACCAAATGCAATTTAGCATATGTAGACAGCCTACAGCTCCGGGAGAACTGTGTTTAACATACTTTCCTCAGGTTGATGGTCAGCTCCATTGTTCTAAACCCAGTGGTACCTTACTTGAAAGAGGGTATGGAGACTGAAGGAAACACATATGAGGGCACTACATGGAAATATGTCCGTCCTCCATTCCCACACATGTCAGATGTCCCTTGTGCTATCTGACAGCCTGTTGTTCCCTGGCAGCAATACTGTAAACTTCTCCCCATGTTGTTAGGAGTCCATTCCCAGCCACATCCTAATGCCAGTGCCTACTCTGTAGTCTGCAGTCCCTCTAGCCCTAGAATCAATATTGTCCCTGGCTGAACACAGCTTGTAACAATGCCAGTGTGATTGATCTTAAAACCAGAAAGTTGAGCAAATCCTTCACTGTGTCCTTAGAGCGAAACCCTAGGGATGGAGGCACAGAGGGATGTAGTTCACGTCGTAAGCTGCCCTCCTGAAATGCCACCCTGAGTCGCGGTAGGTTTAGCAAAGTGTTCATTTTCCTGTCTATGTGCCAACAGCAGGTATTTCCTCTTTTTGACTCCTCCAATTAGCCATTTGTTTACCCTTCATGGCCAGATACACTCTTAGGTCTCCCTCATCTCCAGCTCATTCCTGCTGAGAGGGCCTCTGGCCTAGGGGTGGAGAACAAGGCTCAGTGTCTGGAATCTGAAAAGGCCAGAGGTGGGTTGAGAGGGTGAACATCTGCCTTCCTGTGGGCTTTTGGAGTGAGAATAAAGCACTCTTGGCCCAGACACAGCGCAGGGAGTGCTGTGGCCATTCCCATTCCACTATATAGGTCACATGACCTCCTAATGGCCACCCCACTGAGCTCGCCACCCCGGGAACATCATATTACCTGTGCTCTCCTGCCTCTTAATGCCTGCCTTCCAGTATAGCTTTGTTTAGAGAGTGTGGTGATAGGCCATGGTCCCCGATAAGAACCACACACAAGCTGCAGGTCATAGCCTCTTTTCTATAGGACGGAACTGAAGGGCAAACTTGCACATACCACATGGTGGGGCCATTCTTCTTTGCAGGGCAAGAGAGAGGATACACATACTTCTTCCCTGCTTTAAAATATTATTACATAGAACTTGCCATCGTCATCACGGTTATGAGTACAGTGCCAGGTGGTGAGGGTCCAGGGTGGTGGGTTATGTATCCCTGTGCCTTGTTGGTACTTAGGTCAGAGTGAATGTAGGTAAAAGCAAGCTGCCCTCTGATGCCTAGGAGAGCCGACTGTTCCTTATTGATCTCCACAACCATGGTTCCCTTCCTGACGTGGAGTTATCTGGAAGCTCCTGCTTGAGATGAGGCACAGGAGTTAGGTGAATTTTGATAACTGTTGGTTGGGGCACCCTTGTTATAAAGACTTTCATCTTTTTCTAAGTCCATGATGGCACATAATGCCTACCTTCTAGAATCCTGTCAGCTGATAGACCTCAGGATTCTGGCCACCAAGGAGTGGTGTTTTAGTATTGGAATGAACACCTTCAGACACCTCTGCAGTGGTCCCAACTGGTTCTAGCTGGCCTTCTCCTGAGGGTTTCCAGCCTTCGACTTTGCCAACTGGTTCCTTTATGTGCTAACTTGGCAGCCTTCGTGTAAAGCTTTCTAGACCTGGCTCTCCACCCTGCTCCCCTGCCTCAAGGGGACTTTTCTCAACTGAGCTGTTATTTCAGTACAAACACGGGTTTGCTCAGAAGGTGAGGCACACACCCATGCTCCTGTATTTACTTGGCCACACACATATGCACATGTGTACACTCAGACACATACATATGCACATATATACACTCAGGCACACACCCATGCCTACACATTAAATTAATTTTAAAAATAAAAGTATGGCTGATAAGATGGCTCGACCTGCAAAGGTGCTTGCTGCCAAACCAGACAACCTAAATTCCCTGGAGCCTACGGGGTGGAAGAAGGGACAAGTTGTCACCTAATCTCCATGTGTACACTCCGGTGTGTACATGTGGACACATGAGAGCACAAAAATTAATTATATATTTTTTTAAAATCTCAGTATAGTCTTCATGTGAGAGGGTTGCCTACCGTCAGGCATCTGGCTCTTACACAAAGAGGGATGGGAGAGCATGAGAAAAAAGTCTTGGTTAAGCACTGCATATTAGGCTACAGACATGTTGTCAACTCTGATTCCTATATCTACCACCTAAAAATAATGCATTATGGGTATCAGGTTTAATATCATACTGATGGCACAGTACAGAGAAGCCAGCTGAATCTGGCTTAAGTCCAGTCCGACATCTGGCTTGTCTGACCTCACCAGTTTGGGCTTATTACCATACTCTATGTGTAATCCCCTCCACTCCCCTCCAGGGAAGCCACTGGCTGCCACCTGCCACCCAGCTGGCCAGGAAATACATACTGGATCGATGGCCAGAGGTCAGGTTCTCTTCCTGTAGAGAAACACCTATTTCCTTCTATTTTTTAATCTTGTAAAATATTTATTTTGTGGGGAGTTGGGGGAGGGTGTGTTGGTCTGTGGACAACTTGCAGGAATGGGTCCTCTCCTTCTGCCATTGGGTCCTAGAGACTGGACACAGGCCCTCAGGCTTAGTGGTAAGCTACTTTACCCACTGAAGTATCCAAGAGACCTCTGAGTTCCCATTCAGAGTACCTCTGGGTGCTGTTGCCTGTGGTTGGTCATCTGTGTCTTATACACATGAGCCAAAAACGGTTGTCCCAGAGCTGCGTGCTCTAAACACAAATCCTGGTGCGACACTGAAAGCTCAGCTGGGGCATTCATAGTGATACACAGGCCTGTGGGTCTACACACTTCACACTCACAGGTGGCCAACGTCTTTATTCAACAGGTAGCATCGGGTCCCTGCTAGGTGGCAGTAACTGGGAAGAGAGGCAAACAACAGACCTCATACTCTCTTAAAACCTGTGAGAAAGGTACTCTAGTGGCAGAGAGGATCAAATATGACTTGGCCTGGTTCACAGCCCCTGAGCCTTGTGACATGTGTCCTGTAAGGTTCCTATCTTTCTGAAATATAAGCCCCTCTAGGTCCCACAAATGCCTTCTCCACGATGCTAAGCCCCAGCCCTTGCGCTCAGCCCACCCAGCCTTCCCCCAACCCCTGCCATTACTGCTCCCCAAAACCTTCCTAAAGGACCTGCTCATGGCCCAGACTCTCTCACGCTTGGCGGCAAAAGGACCTGGCTCCTACACAAAATCCACAGCAAGGCCCCAAGCTAAGCTGAAATGGATCCTAATCAACCTCCTCAGGGCTGTGCCGTCCGCGGACACGGGGAGCTGTAATTTAAACTTGATGTGCGAGGGTTACAGTAGCCTGCCAAACCACTGTGCAGGAGGAAGACTTTGAAACATGAAACTCTTTCAAGGGAGAAAATCCAAAAGCATTCCCTCTCACTTGCGCCAGCTCCTAGCCAAGTTGGAAGACAACCCAGCCCGGTGCCTCTTCCTAGAGGCCTGTTTATGGGAAGGTTGAATCGTTCAGAGACACAAGAGCATGGGGTAGCATGTCTGAGAAACACCTTCAGCTCAGTACACTAACTAGCCTGAGCTAGCAGAAAGAGATTCTTGGGCATTTGCCCTTTAGGAGAAAAACGCTTCTCTGCCTCCCCCTCTCCCTTTCCCCAGACCATCTCTTCCTGTCTGCAGTTTGCCAGGCGCACAGGCCAATCCTTCAGTGAAGGAGCTCACCCCCTGCCATCATCCAAGGATCCTCCATCTCTTTTCTTTTCTGATTGACACTTTTTCCAAAACCAGATGATTTGAAACAGCATGCCATTGTTTCACCAGGAGGACCCAATCCCGACTGGTCAAGTGACAGAGAGGGAGGGTGCAGAAAGGGTTTGGCTCCCCTTTCCCCTGAAAAGAGCTACTCAGAGGCCAGAACCCTTCCAAGAGCCTGGTATTCTCAAGCTTTCTTAGAAAACATGGTTTTTATTGGAGAACATCACTAGCAACTTACAACAAAAAAATAATTAACAGTGGACATCTTCGGAGTGGCACAGAGAATGTGTAAGATTTGGCAGCTACTCCAGAGGCCACTGGGGTCAGCAACTTACCTCCAAACCAGACTTCTCAAAAGAGTGTATAGACACATGCACACACAGATACACACTCCCACCCCAACCCCATTGAAAATCATGTGCCTGAAATGTGTGGAGGGACTGGTTTATATTTGGAGATAAATATTGGTCTAATACTATATCCTCGACATCTCGAGATGGAGACATGCTATCTAAACAGTCAAGTAACTGAGAGGCCCATAAACACAAGGTCCAGAGCCAGTCCAAAGGAAGAGTGCGTTCAAGGTCCTTGGAATGGCTGGCCAAGAGATACCCCAAAGGCCAGTGCACAGATGGGCACCTCCAAAAGACTAGATGCCCTGGAGTAGTCTGTCACACGTATCACCCTGAAGTGGACTGGACCACAGGACTGAATACCTCAGAACTGGGTTTGTTCTCATCTTTCTCTGGCTGTATTGAATCACCCCGCATCCACCTAACCAAGCTGCTCAGGAAGAATCTGCCAGTTTTCTGGCAGGCTTGGAGACACATCCTGTTAGTCTATGGGGAGCTACCCTTTGGGGGTTCAGACTTCTGTCAGGACTAGAAGGTACTCTGCTTCTCCAGGCCTCCAGCTAAATAAACCTTGAAGTGAGGCATGCCTCTCCTTCAAACAGGATAATTATAAAAAAAAACATCTGACCGCTCCTCGGAAGATTCCAGAAAGGACTCAGGAAAAATAACTGACTGCATTGGGTTGGAAGTGTGGGGTCGCTATGGGTACAGAATATGCTACTTGTTAATCATTTCCCAGAAGGCTCAGGGTGGACCGCCCAAGACTTTCCAGAATTTTCTCCCAAATACCCAAATAGTGCTAACAAAAGCTGGGTATGTATGCCCAAGGGAGGCTTGCAAGGGAGAAAAGTACATCAAATCTTGCAAGTTGTTGAGCATCTCATAATTTTCTCTGCTTTACAGTGTATCCATACTTTAACATGGGATTAAAAATGTTTCTCGGGTCCTTGAAGTTTGCTAAGATTAACACTGAAGCTTTCTTAACACACAAAGGTTACCATATGAGCCAATGGCTGAGTTTTTTATTCTGATCACAGTAGACACTTCTCATGAGATATATGTATCAAAACATCATGTTTAATACCTTAGACGTATTCTTAAATCTGCTCCCTATGCCTTAAGCAAAAGGAAAACTCTTTGTTACTTACTGCTGGGGGTTGAATCTAGGGCCTGACTCATGCCAAAAGCAACAGCCCAGCCCAGGAAACAATTTTTAAAACTAAAACGTATCATGCTACTGATTTGTCAGCTGTTAATAACAGGGTCAATTTTTGCTTTTACTTTGTATATCTCCCTTCAGTATTTGGGTTCTCAGCCAGGCAGGTGGATCTCTGTGAGTCTGAGGCCAGCCTGGTCTACATAGTAAATGCTAGGCCAGCCAGAGTTATATAGTGATACACTCTCTTAAAATATATATGTGTGTGTGTGTGTGTGTGTGTATGTATATACACACACACACACACACATACATGTACACATACACACATACATTTGCACACACATGTTGTACACATACACTCACACACACGTGTGATTCTCAAGAGTTTACCTGAAGACTCTGATTATGACCCTTATGATCTCTCATGGTAGACAGATAGTCTGTCTGCTTGTTTGTATAATTTTATGATGTAAAGATGACTGAAGGAAGGACAGAGGTTGGGCCTCTGCTCACATAGATGGATGAAGTCCTGACTCCTCCCTCAGATATTTAACTCTGAAGTCTGCTAAATGCCCAGGCATCTGGGGGTGAGATCCTGGCAGTAGGGGCAGATAGGAGTGGCCAAGCAGTATTCATGACACGCTGTGATAGGCTGAAGGATCTTGCCGCCCTTCCTGGGAATATGTGAAGAGTTATAATTAAGGCAGGTGTCTCAGGCATGGGACCTAACACTAGTTAGCACAGGGTACCATACAGTGTGGTGGCCATACAAACTAATGTTCATGCATTCACTCATTCATTCATCCATCCATTCATTCTTGGGGCGTGTGTGTGTGTGTGTGTGTGTGTGTGTGTGTGTGTTGCTAAGAACAGAAGCCATGGCCCTATACATACTAAGCAGATACTAAATGACTAAATCATTCCCCAATCTTCTTCCCTTTGTTCTCTATACCTTTTACTTCATCTGCCTGAAAATCTGGGTTTGTTAGAATAAGACCCTCTACTGCCATCTGTTGGGAAGTGGTCCTTGTAAACTTCTCTATGACATCTGGCAACCCTGATTCCACATGTGCATGCCTCTCCTGCACTGATGCACTCAGCCTTCCCCAGCCACGGGAGTGTGCTGTGCTTTTTAAGCAATGGCCTTTTGGGGAAGAAATGCACACCCGTGGCAACTCAGCCTCCCCTGCATACAATCACCCATAGGTTGACCATCGGGATCAGTACTCTTAGAGCCTGGGGTTCTGGAGATGAGAGTGGAGTTTGCAAGGCTATTTGGGCAGCTGGATTGATTTCTTTGAGAGGAAAGAATTTGTTCTGGTGTCTGCAGGAGGGGACAGCGCCATGGCTTTGTTGGTGGCAAGAATGATATCCATAATGACATAGGCATGTGAGTGTCACCATGGCATTAGCTGCTCTAAGTCCTTTCAGCACGTGGTTTGGCCTATGAAGTGTACATGGTGCACATGCATACTTGTGGGCAAAACACTTCGTGCACATAAAAATAAATATGTTTTTGAAAGATGGCTCTCTCCACAGCAATCAGTTCAGTCAAGATCACCCCCGCCCCATGAATTATCCCCAGAGCCCCATCTCCCAGGTGACTCGCCATCCTTTCAGGTTGAAAATCGGTACTGACCGCCACAAGCTAGAAAAAGTTGCTTAAACGCTGGACAGTAGCAATTGAAGTGACTGTGTAAGATGAATCACTCGTCCTACCTTGTAGGAAAAGCCACAGGCCAAAGCAGCCTCAGGGCTGGAATAGAGAAGTCCTCTGAGTACTGAGCTGGAGAAAACTGCCAGCCTGGGTCAGGATGCAGAGCCAGCCCTGGGAGACTCCATGCTGTTGACGCCAGCATAGACCTGAGTCAGGATGCAGAGCCAGCCCCGGGAGACTCCATGCTGTTGACTCCAGCATAGATAGACCATGAATGCCACAGACGTGAGAGATGGTTCTAGATGACAAAGAGGAATGGGGTCCTGTGGATACTTTTACAAGTTTGTTAGGTGAGAGCAGTATTTGTCAAATGGCTCCAAAGATGGCTGCTGTCTCTCAGGACATTAGTGTTTGTATAAGGATTGAGGACATAGTTTAGTTGGTAAAGTCCTTGCTACACACCTGTAAGGACCTGTGCCCATCCCAACACCTATATAAAGCCAGGCCTACACTTGTCATCCTGGTGCTGGGGAGGTAGTCACCGTCAGATCCCTGGAGCTTTCTGGTCAGCCTGACCTACTTGGCATGGTCCAGGCCACTGAGGAATTCATTTCAAAAATCCAAGTGGACAGCTCCTGAGGAACACCACCTGATTCTGACCTCCACACATAAATACATAATATACATATACACATATGCATACAAACACAAGCATATAAACACATATACATAAGCACACAGATATATATACAAACATACACACACACACATATATATATATGCATATCTGTACACATATGTACATATACACATAGATACATATACAAATAAACACACATATATATATACATATAAACAATGCACACATAAACATATGCACCTGTACACATAAACATGAAAACATATGAATACATATGCATATATGTAAATAAACACATACACACTAAACACATATACATATATACACACATATGCAGGAGGAAAAACAGCAAATCAGCTCTAAAAATGGTGGCTTCTCCCATGGCTGGTCAGATTCTTTGCTGTACTATCTCTGTACATTTGTCTATCACAGATGTCTAGAAGAATGCAGCCTTATCAGACTTAAATGACTGTGACATGTGTTCTTTCACCGCTCCAAATACCTTTGAGTAACCTCCAGTAAGTGATGGTCTCCAGTACCTAGTGCTGTGGTAACACTGTTGCTGCAGCTCACGTGAGGAACAGCTTGCTGGGAGATAGACTTCAGGAAGTCAGTGTGCTAACCTGAGACATTCTTCTAGCATCCTCAGCCCTGGGAAGGGCTAGGTCCTACCTCCCCATGCCTCAGGCTGCCTTCGAATCCAAATGCAGTCCTAACACAGAGCCTCTTCTATCTTTCAGATGGGCTTCTTCCGCAGAAGGTACAAAGAAATCATTGAAGCTGAGAAAAACCGGAAAGAGAATGAAGATGGTTGGGACTGGGTCCAGAAAAACCAGTGACCCACTCTGCCAGTCATATGATGCCCTCACGTCCCCATCACCAGCCTGTGGTCCTTGATCTTTGTATCTTCCATATTTGGAAGAAAGAAATCTTCTCCAGATTTTTCGGAGGCCCCACTGACGACGCTATTCTCTTTCTCATTCTGTCAAGCCCGGTTCCGACCTGAGATGGCCACCTCCAGCCAGGTCACATGACTGGGGCCACCACCACTCCCCTTCACAAGATGAACTCAGAACTTTGGAAAGACAAGCTATAGAGCAAACCAATATTTATGGATGCAACATTGTGTGGTCAACCCTCAGGGGAAAACTGTTACCTAAAAGTATTTTTTATAAATGTAAGCCTTTTATATTGATCATGTCTTTATATTTGTATCAATGTTTTATTATTTCTATTAAATAGTTCTATAATTCACTCAAGCACTGAAATCTTGGAAATACATGTACCTGCATACAAATTTTAAAGAGAAGGAACTTATTCTACTTTGGAACTTGTTATTAGGGAAGAGAAAAAAATCTTGCAGATAAAACAAACTGAAGAAACCTCATGAAATGAATCCACCAAGCTGGGCACACTGCAAAAGCACCAAGGATATGACTAGACCACCTAAGACATTTATTCCCCATTGTTACCACCTGAAGTCAAGTTCAGAGAGCTTGAAGCATCGGTGTTTTCTCTTCTGGACCTCTCACTGGGAGATTCTCGGCAGGAACCAGGGTGGAAAGCTTGGTTTCCTCCCAGCAGATGCTCTGTGCCACCCTGATGCATGTGGCAGGCACTGTACCCTCCTCTGGAGCCAGCAAGTGCTGGATGGACAACTGGTCAACCTCAGAATAGCATCTCATCCTAGACAACATACACCAGAGTTCAGAGCCCAGGACTGAAGCTGTGCTCTCAGCAAAAACCTGTGTCTCTATGTGTAAGCTGTTACCTTGTGGTATAATGTTAGCACAAGGCTCTCTGTTTCCTCTGTCACTCTTGCTGTCCCCAACTGGTGGATACCTTCCCAGAGAGGATCACCCGACACGGTTTGTGTTTATGTCTTAGGTGGAATTCTCAAGAGTCAAACCCTGAAATAGGACTTGGGTGCAAATAACTTATTGAGGAAGTCTTCCGAGAACGTAGCAGTGAGGAATTTCAGAATACAAGACAGGAGAGTATGGGGAGACAGGCAACAGTGTCCCTTCAGGGCACAGCCCATGAGATGGCTTCAGACCAGTTAGATCCAGTGGGCTAGTCAGGCTCAGGAACCTGGACTTTTGTGATTCCCACACCTGCAGGTGATATAAACTTTCTGCCCTTAGTTCTTGCTGACAATATGACTCTGTCCTCTAGAGGAGAACTTTGGGGGCACCCTCAAGTAAGGAGATCCAGAAATCATGCTTAGAACTCTGAGCCAAGAGCTTTGGCAACCCCTTCCCCCCACAAAGTGAATGCTACCTTCAGCTTTGTGTAATCAAAAAAGCCATGAGTCTAAGCTGGTCCTAGAAGTCAAATGTTGCATCTGACCGTGGAATAGAGACAGTGGTCACTACATGGAATGGACAGCCCAGGAAACTAGTTAGTGCACACCCAGTTCTTAAGTTTTATCAAAAGAAATAAGGAAAGAAGTCTTGGCTTTACCAGCCATGTGCATCTTGGTCTGTGGGTGAGGCACTGTGCTGGATGTTGGTGGATCCCCTGAGAACACAGTCACCTCGTGTCTAAGGGTGGTAAGCCCTCCCACAATAGGTATGGAGTGTAGATTCTTTATGAACCCCATTTGCAGCTGTCTATGACGATCGTTGAATCGTGTCGTGGTTTCCTTTACTAAATCATTTGAGAGTCAGCTGGTGAGACCACTACAGAACCGTCTGCAGTTATAGCCAAAATGCTTCTGTCCCCACTGGCTTACTTCCTGCAAAGGGCTTGGCTGCACCAGTGGAGACTGATGACTCACGTACACACCTCAGCTAGCCAGCAGAGCCACACCTGAGAAAGCATGGAAGGCAGGAAGAGCAGACTCAGCTGCAGTCTGGCCACTTGCACCTGATCTCAAATGGTGAAACCTCACGAATAGTCATGTGCTCAGAAGGTCACTACAACTTCAGGAGGCAGATTTTAAGAAAACTGTAATGGTATCTCTGAAAGCAAATCCTAAAAAGCACTGTAGGGGAGAGGAGGCCTCTCTGCTTATGCTGAGTGCTAGAGTGTGGCTCCAGGCACAGAGGCAGGGAATCAGGTGGAGCATTGTCTTGGAATTCTTTCAGCTGGGTAGTTCAGCATCTCCATGCCAGTCTTCTGCAGGCAGTGGGCAGGTGGGTTGATGTGCCTGTGTTACCTCTTTCTAGGACATTCTTTTTTAAAAGCCCACTGTGTAGCCCGTTGCATCCTTCCGCTGCCTCTGAGTTCATTCTGCAGACATTCTCCAGGGAGCTATCATTTGTTTGCTTCTCTTTTTTAGTTGTGTCTTCTGTGGTTTTAACCAGCTCAAGAAAGTCTAGAGCATCCCCAAAGTGAGCCCTACCACAAAGAGGCTATGAAATGTAAACAGAACACCAGCAGGAGGGACCTGGGAGCTGGTCAATTGACCAGAGCACACCCTGTGTCCCCCGTCACTGACTCAGGCAACGCTTTGGGAAAGCACCTCGGGGCTCAGCAGTCTGGCAGGTTGCATGAAGTCATCTGTCCTAGTCCCCCCTCCATCCATCCTTTGGTGCCCCCACCACCCAACACCCTACCCTCACCCCCACACACCAAGTATCACATGCCCTACTTCTCTAAATCCAAAGGCAAGGGAATTCTCAACAAACAGCGTACTGTTGAGACACCTCAGTGACCAGTGACCCCTGTTGTGTGCTACCTGTTGAGCCCCAGTATGGTGGGTGTAGAAATGTTATCCACATTTATTTAAGGATGAGACAGCTTTATACCCAATTACCTGAGAAGCATAAACCTAGGAAAGGAATGCGTAATGTCAACTTCCTGAAATTTAGAGGTACTACAAAGCATTGTCATGTGATGGGTGGAATAGGACACAGCTTGCCCGACACACAGGAAGCAATGGGTTCATTCCCTAATAACCCCGCCCCCAAATATCACGTGGGGAAACTGTCCCCTTGATAAACAAAAGGCAGAAACCAAATATTCTCAGAATGATTTCACACTTCCTCGAGAACATAGAATTTTAATAGATGTGGGTTTTGGTTCTGGAGTCTTATATTCTAAGATACTGACAGAAGGGAGGCTGCAGGGCCCCTGGGGCCCGTGTGGTGCTCTGTTACGGTGTTTGGTTTGCTTTGTTTGACCCCAGTGTGCACAGTGTGATTGGCGGTGTGAGTTTAAGCTTCCTGAGTGGTTTGTTGCATGACGGGCACCTTTGCTCTCTGTATGCCTGCAGCTTTACTGAGACTCAAGTGTGCACACGCACACACACACACACACACACACACACACTGCCCGAGCGGATTTGGAGTAGGAAGGCTGTCTTTCCTCACTGTGTCTTGTGAATTCATGTCCATTTCTGCGGTCACTTCTGAATCACATGCACTGTTTGGGAGATGCCAGGTTTACAAAAATAAGTGTTTGGAATAAAACAAAATATGGCTTCAAATGATCCCAGTGTGTCTGACTGTGATTTCATTGCTGCTAAGAACTTCATAAGGGACTGAAGAGGAATTCCAGTATAATGCAGTGTGAGCACTAAAGAGCACACCAAGGACTGCTGACTCTCATGGGAACATCCCACATGATGGGGCTGAATCTGCCCTTAAGACATAATTTGGACACTACCACCTATGTGTGTTGCCTGCCTGCCTGGGGCTGGACCTGGTATCTGTCTAGAAAGAAATACAGCTCAATGAAATGGGTGTTCTTCATCACAAGCAGACCTCTTCCACATGTATGTAATGTAAGTCATTAAGCATTTGCCCAGGCTATCCTCAAACTTGTTGTGTAGCCAAGGATAGCCCAAATTTTAATCTTTCTGCCTCTATCTCTAGAGTACTAGGATTACAGGTGTGTGCCACCACCTCTGGTGTTTTGAAGGCAAGAATCTCATTCTAAGCAAGATTCCGCCAGCTGTGCCAACATGCTCAACCCCCCTGTAAGCTTTCTGCCAGCCCTCTTGCACACTTACAGACATTTCCTTAGATTTTAAATCTCTATTTGCTAGCTACAGCCTCATTCTTATCACACATACTTTTAACTTGTGAATTATTTTTTTCTTTTTTCCCTAAATATTACTAACAAAGATCTACCTAATATGTTGCTTGCTTTCAAGAATAAGCGTCTGGCTCTATCCAGTCTGGGTTTTGCTTTCTAGTTCATCAATCACAATTTTCATGCATACAAGTATGTTCTCTTCAGCCATCATTGTTAACTTTACCCAAGGGCTGGCCAGCCGTCTCGGTGGGTAAGCACACACACACACACACACACACATGTACACACATGCACATACACATGCACACACATACACATGCACACACATGCACACACATACACATGCACACACATACACATGCACACACATACACATGCACACACATACACATGCACACACACATGCACACACATACACATGCACACACATACACATGCACACACATACACATGCATACACACATGCACACACATACACGTGCACACACATACACATGCACACACATACACATGCACATACACACACTGCTCTTTTTTTCCTCTCATGACTCATTCATGGGCTCATGTTCTTCATGCGGCTCCTTAATTATTTACTGTTGGCTGGTGGTTGGTGACTTCCCTTAGAAAGTTCTTTATGGTAATTCTTTGAAGCCTAGGATGACATATGTTCCTGCAGAGAGCACTTGCCTTCACCTCTGCCAGGCTCCCATCTGGGATCAGGCCTTGGGGTTTTAATAGACCACCCATGGAATGGGTACAGCAAGTCCATTCCAAGGCTAGCCCATGCCCTTTCTCCACAGGGTGGGATCCAGAGCCCTCACACAGCCCTGTGCTCTGCTCTACACCACCAAGAGCCTCGGTCCTTCAAAGTACTGACCAGGGGCAGAATGCTTATTTCTGATTGGCTCTTTCATCTGTTCATTTATTTATTCATGATTCCGAATTTGACTATGTAGCCTGGGCTGGCCTGGCACTGGAATCCTCCCGCCTGGACCCGTAAAGTAATAAAATCAGTTGTGTGCCTCCATGCCTGCCACTTTATAGGCCACTGATCCCTGCAAGGCCATGAAAGCTCAACTTCTGCTTTGTAGGTGTGTGTGTGCAGGGAGATGTCACATTTTTACTATAAAGCAACAACAGCGAAAGAAAACTAAGCGTACAGAAAAGTAGAAAGAATTTTAAGTAAACACCAAGTCCTTGGCATCTAGATTCACATCCCCATTTTATTCCATGTGCTTTGTCATTTCTCTACCAATCTTCTTTCCACACACTCATG